TTGATTTTGATAAAATTAAATAAATATATATAGTTGAAAAATTGATAAAATTATGGATCCTTGAAACTTGTGGTTAAAATTAGTTATTAATTTTAACTTAAACTTTTATTAAGCCAAACCAGTTGCAAATAATATAACATTAAATTTTTATAACTTATCTCCTTTTTTTTTTTTTTTAACTTAATTCGCTCATTATCCTAACATTGTTGAAGATAAATTTGAAATGTGTGACAACGTCGATGATATTACAAATTAAATGTCTAATATTGAATTATCAAAAGCAATAATAACATGAACACGAGAATGAAAAGTAAATATAAAGCAAACGATTTTTAAAACCTATGTTATCAATACAAGAATTAATTTAATTTAACTATACATGGTTTTAATATATCTTATAATTAGTTATTCATTTTTTGCTTACATATAAAGAAAGTTCTTCTAGAAAGATTCATCTGTGATCAAGAAGAGAAATGAACAATGTAAAACTTCATATGATCGACAATTGCCCTAGCGATATTATCTATAAAAATATCATTAGATTCTTTCATAATTTGGTTAAGGAAGGAAGATTGGTCAATAAGAAAATCTTTCTACTTTGGTGATATGATATGGTCACCTTGCCTTTTCAAAGTCAAAATTTAACAAATCCAAAGAAATCTATTAGTCCATCCAAAATTAAGGAAAATGGGGGAGCAAAGGACACACGCCTTGCTTTGTCTAAAATTCATTAAGCCCTGTTTGGCTGTCATTTTTTTGTTTTTCCAAATTTTAATCTTCGGAATAGTATTTTTTTTTTTTTTTTTAAGAACGTGTTGTTAAAAAATAATGAAAAGTTTTCGATTTACATGTAATATTATGTTATGGATGATTGTGTAGTTGAAAATAAGGAAAATGAAAAAAAATGAAAGAGAATGGGGCCAAACGAGAGCTAAATTGCAGACTGATTGTGAAATATTTCAACAAGACTTTTCAAATTGCAAATTGCAAATTGCAAATTCTTGTCAATCACTTTCATTAGGATTTTAGGATTACTAGGAAATTTCATTTTGAAAAGATATTTTGAAAGGAAAATTGACTAACGTACGAGTTTTTATTTGTAATTACAGTATAGTTACCTGCCAAGGGGTTGGAGTTACGGAAAAGTTTCTTACATTGAGCAATGCCTTTGTTATGAAAATTAATGCAGGATAAAAAATAAAAATTAAAAAAAAAAAAAAGCGTTGAACCCCAACCTTGAGGGCCCCCACCATCCCGCCCCTAAAGCTTTTTAAGGGAGATAAATTAATGCAGGATAGCATATATGAAAACTTGATAATATTGAATTTATTTACAGTTTTCAAGTTTTTGTTCGTTCGCTCATAAATATTTACCAAGAATGCTCAGGCGACAATAAATACGAAAGATAATCATCTATGTCTCGAAAAAATAACATTTTTTTTTTTTCAAAATTGAGATTTTGATCAAGACAAAGTAGTCCAACTCACGGTGGGCCCACGAGTTAGAATTTCCTTGCAATCATTTGTGGAAAATTTACAAGTTGGTGGCGTCGAGACGACGTTTCTATTTGACATTGCTAAAAATTAGTAATTAATTTTAACTTAAAATTGATTTTGATAAAATTAAATAAATATATATAGTTGAAAAATTGATAAAATTATGGATCCTTGAAACTTGTGGTTAAAATTAGTTATTAATTTTAACTTAAACTTTTATTAAGCCTTTTAAGCTAAACCAAACCAGTTGCAAATAATATAACATTAAATTTTTATAACTTATCTCCTTTTTTTTTTTTTTTAACTTAATTCGCTCATTATCCTAACATTGTTGAAGATAAATTTGAAATGTGTGACAACGTCGATGATATTACAAATTAAATGTCTAATATTGAATTATCAAAAGCAATAATAACATGAACACGAGAATGAAAAGTAAATATAAAGCAAACGATTTTTAAAACCTATGTTATCAATACAAGAATTAATTTAATTTAACTATACATGGTTTTAATATATCTTATAATTAGTTATTCATTTTTTGCTTACATATAAAGAAAGTTCTTCTAGAAAGATTCATCTGTGATCAAGAAGAGAAATGAACAATGTAAAACTTCATATGATCGACAATTGCCCTAGCGATATTATCTATAAAAATATCATTAGATTCTTTCATAATTTGGTTAAGGAAGGAAGATTGGTCAATAAGAAAATCTTTCTACTTTGGTGATATGATATGGTCACCTTGCCTTTTCAAAGTCAAAATTTAACAAATCCAAAGAAATCTATTAGTCCATCCAAAATTAAGGAAAATGGGGGAGCAAAGGACACACGCCTTGCTTTGTCTAAAATTCATTAAGCCCTGTTTGGCCGTTTTTTTTTTTTTTTTTTCAAATTTTAATGTTCGGAATAGTTTTTTTTTTTTTTTTTTGAAGAATGTGTAGTTGAAAAATAATGAAAAGTTTTCGGTATACGTGTAATATTATGTTATGGATGATTGTGTAGTTGGAAATAAGAGATGAAAAAAATGAAAGAGAATGGAGACCAAACGGAAGCTAAATTGCGGATTGATCGTGAAATATTTCAACAAGACTTTTCAAATTGCAAATTGCAAATTCTTGTCAATCACTTTCATTAGGATTTTAGGATTACTAGGAAATTTCATTTTGAAAAGATATTTTGAAAGGAAAATTGACTAACGTACGAGTTTTTATTTGTAATTACAGTATAGTTACCTGCCAAGGGGTTGGAGTTACGGAAAAGTTTCTTACATTAAGCAATGCCTTTGTTATGAAAATTAATGCAGGATAAAAAATAAAAATTTAAAAAAAAAAAAAAAAGCGTTGAACCCCAACCTTGAGGGCCCCACCGTCCCGCCCCTAAAGCTTTTTAAGGGAGATAAATTAATGCAGGATAGCATATATGAAAACTTGATAATATTGAATTTATTTACAGTTTTCAAGTTTTTGTTCGTTCGCTCATAAATATTTACCAAGAATGCTCAGGCGACAATAAATACGAAAGATAATCATCTATGTCTCGAAAAAATAACATTTTTTTTTTTTTCAAAATTGAGATTTTGATCAAGACAAAGTAGTCCAACTCTTTCGGGCTTCATCACGCAAAGTGAAAAATTAGAAATCCGTCTTATAATCATAACAATCCAAATGCATTAACTGAAGCTATATAAAAGGGAGCCATATATCTCGAGTCAAGTCAAGTATGCTTGCAATGACAAGATTTTATTTTATTTTTTCTATCAAAATGGTCCCTTATAAAGCACATTAACTTCACCTTTCATCAATTTCAACTTGTCAAACTACTAACCAATCACTTGCTTCTACGTCTCTCTTTGCTAGTGGCAACATCCTTGTTCAATTTTCGAAATTTAGACTTTGGTTTATCACATTTATTACACTTCTCGTATAACTTTACGTAACAGTAACAGTAACAGTAACAGTAACAGTAACACCGTTGTGTTATGCTTATATTGTATTTCACCCCATAGATCAAACAGTTATAAATCATCCAAACATGTGTGATTCAACAACTTTCAAGAAATTCATTATACTAAAACCCTAAATAACTGCCATGATCGTCAAGATTTGTTTGGTTTCAGCATGATCATCATCATCATGATGAATCTAAACTTGGAGAAGTCAACACGTGGCAGACAAATAGTAGGTCCCAAGTCAGTATATCACTCAAGCGTGAAATAGAGAAACTTTGAGCATAGCCTTAATTTATATTAAAAGAAATCCTTTCCTTAATCTCTGCTTTAAGATTAGAAAACCCCTGTGTCATGACACATAATTCTGTTGAACCCACATTTTACATCACGAGACTAGCAACTTTGGGGGCCACAAAAGATTTGTATATTTCCAAATGACCCCACAAGATTTTCAAATATTTGCTTGTGGGTCCCTAATCTTGGATCTTTCTTTATATCATGTCTTCATTATAATTACCCAATACTGTTACCTTTGATTTTTCAATTTCCAAATCCAATCCTAAATTAGACTTTGTGGTTGAAGCTCAATGTTCCTATTAATATTTTGATAAAAAAAAATTTGCATGTGACAAAACATGCTGAATATAAAATATAAACAAATAAATTTTTTATCCTTAAGAAATTTTAACTTTATAAATAACGTGATTAAGATGAAATATATACCAAATTATATATCTATTGCCTATTCATTAATTCTCCTCAAAAAGAGTATGAGTCAATTTACAAGTTCTACGATAATGTCTTGATTTATAAATTATAAATGTAAGTTAGTTGTAGATACAAATTAAAATTAAATTGATCTTTAGTTTAACAATGCCTCAATAAAAAATAAATAAATTGGAAAATTTGGAAAAGAATTAATTATAAAAAGATGTATACAATTAATTATTAATCTTTTTAAAATGAAGATCAAATGATTTCTCAACTCCGTGTCACTCTATCACTAGTTAACAGTTACATTCAATGCAATTTTCTCCATTTTTTCTTGCATGCAAGTTGATGTGAATTCATAAATAATAACAACTAAGGAAAAATAAAATGAGTCATGTTTACTTATAAGTAAATTTTAAATTACAAACATTTTTACTCGTCAAAGTTAAAATTAAAATAAATAATAAATTATTTCGAGTAAGGTGTGTGTGTGTGTATATATATATACTTTTTTTCAAAACTTCAACAAACATGCATGCCTAGGTCGAGTGCGTTTTGAGCTAAAGAAATTTCTTAATTTGGTAGTTAATCACTTTTCGAAGTCATCACCGAATCAAATTAAGATTATTATGTTAGACAAAATGAGCACAAAGATCTTGTTGATTTTCCTTGAAATTCAACCACAAAATCCTTTGGTAATCAACCATAAATCCAAAAAAAGGTATGAAAATTGAAAAAAGCAAAGCACATGAGATCCAAAAGAAAGAAAAGAAAATAAAGTGAGGGTCCCATGGCCGAAGGAGTGGAGGAAACCACCATAAGTAGTTGTACCAACACGGTGTCTGAATGAAGACAACCTAGGTGAAAAAAACATGATGTACAATATTTTCTGCAAACGCAGGTTTTGCTTATCAACTACTTAATATAAGAACCTGCGAACAAATAGCATGCACACACATTCCACACACGAAAGTTGAAATTTTGATCAAGAAATTTTAAGGTTTTTCTTTTTCATTTTTTAATTATTTTAGAGAGAATATGGAATTAAATTCAGAAGCTGATGAGGATACAAAAAAAGAGCAAGAACAAAAAGAAGAAGAAAAAGAAAAACAACATTTTCATGTATTGGCAGTTGATGATAGTAATATAGATAGAAAGCTCTTGGAAAGGCTTCTTACTGTTTCTTCTTACCAAGGTATGTCAATACTGTTTAGTCGACCTTACCAGACATACTTTTTTGTATGGGTGGGTTGATTACAGATCTGCTCTGGTAATAATGCAGTTACGTGTGTGGATTCTGGAGATAAGGCTTTAGAGTATCTTGGGTTGCTTGATATTCAAGAGAGTGAAATTTCAAGAACATCATCAATTTCTTCATGTTCATCTTCTTCATCCAAATCATCCGAGAAAGAGGTAAGAATTATACACTAAAATAAAATAAATATAGGGAAAATTATTTTCTTCAGGTGGGATATATTTCTATACGAAATTGATCAGATTTTCACAATTTTATTCAAAAAGATTTCAGGTGACCCTTTAGTAAATCTTTTATTATTAATGTTGTGCACCCTTTACTGATTTTTTCTGCTGCATAATTGGTACGTCAATTTGCAGAAAGTTACATATTCTGAAATATGTACTTGACCGCTTCATCGTATTAATCAAATATTTTGGAGGAATTCCCAACAGTTAATTCTTATTACATATATACCTATTTATTTTCAATCCCTACTGTTTCCAACACCTATTTGGCTGTTTCTGATAAAAATATTTTCTCAGGTATCAAAAGTTAACCTGATCATGACAGATTATAGTATGCCAGGAATTACCGGTTATGATTTGCTCAAAAGAGTCAAGGTTAGCTTCCAAAACACAAAACCTAATTATAGGTATATCAGGTTCGCAATAATTCTAGATTAGACTGCGTCGGTATATATACTTACCAGCATACCAATTTTATGTTCAGAACACGATGATTCGAGTATACAAAGAACCTCTTATCGTGTATGAACAAAGGCCACGATTGAAAAATTAATTAATTTTATGGGTTCTGTAACAAAGTTTACAATGTTTCCAAAGTGGAGAGACAAAATTATTTTCCTTTTACTTTTAACTTAGTTTATTTACCTTTTCACCGTCTACTTAATTGTTTTTCCTCCTTTTCAAAGAACATGCTCTCAATTGTTGGAGAGTAATTCTTATTACATATATACCTATTTATTTTCAATCCCTACTGTTTCCAACACCTATTTGGCTGTTTCTGATAAAAATATTTTTTCAGGTATCAAAAGTTAACCTGATCATGACAGATTATAGTATGCCAGGAATTACCGGTTATGATTTGCTCAAAAGAGTCAAGGTTAGCTTCCAAAACACAAAACCTAATTATAGGTATATCAGGTTCGCAATAATTCTGGATTAGACTGCGTCGGTATATATACTTACCAGCATACCAATTTTATGTTCAGAACACGACGATTCGAGTATACAAAGAACCTCTTATCGTGTATGAACAAAGGCCACGATTGAAAAATTAATTAATTTTATGGGTTCTGTAATAAAGTTTACAATGTTTCCAAAGTGGAGAGACAAAATTATTTTCCTTTTACTTTTAACTTAGTTTATTTACCTTTTCACCGTCTACTTAATTGTTTTTCCTCCTTTTCAAAGAACATGCTCTCAATTGTTGGAGATAAAGCAACAAATTCGCTTTAATTTAAAAGTGATTAATTTGAAAAGAAAAGTTTGTGTAACAGTACAGAAGACACTGCAAAAACAAAATAAAAATGAATAGTTTTATACAAAATTATATTCTTTATTCATCATGTTTTTTATGAATTTTTTTAAGTGGCCATGAAATTTCTCTGGTGCAGAGATCTTCTTGGAAAGATGTCCCAGTTGTAGTCATGTCGTCCGAGAATATACCATCAAGAATTACCATGTAAATGCTCGTGCTCATCTCTTCTTTCCCAATGAACTATATTTATTTTTCTTGTTATTTGATTATTTCTTTGGGAAGTTGATTAATGGCCCTACATCATTATGTAAAAGACACATCAAAAGGAGCTAGAAGATAAAATTTGTGGGGACAGATTACACAAAATATTAATTGTGGGGGCAAAATTGAAAATTACAAGGACTTTTTTTTTTAATTTTGAAAAAATTTGGGCAATATATTGAATTTCAAATTTATTATGGGGGCAGGTAACCCTCCATAAATCCGCCCCTGATTCAAATGGGTTTTAAAGGGGCACTAGAACAAGAAATTGTGACATTGAAATTTTGTCTTGAATAGTATGTCGGCAATCATATATCAACAAGTTTTAACAGATACATCAAGGAGCTTTAAATGCGTCACGAGGAAATAATAGACCAAACTAATATAGCATAATGTGGATGCTCATCTATTAAGAATCTAATTATTTTGGACCATTCTGGAAATCCGCCCCTGATCAAATGGATTTTAAAGGGGCACTAGAACAAGAGATTATAACATTGAAATTTAGTCTTGAATGGTATATCGGCAGTCTTATTTCAACAAGTTTTAAGAGACACATCAAGGAACTTTAAATGCGCCACGAGGAAATAATAGACCAACTAATATAGCATAATGTGGATGCTCACCTATTAAGAATCTAATTATTTTGGATCATTCTATTAATCTAGCAATGAAATGAGTGGTGTGAAGAAAAAGAATTTAAAAGCTTTAAAGAAGCTTTAACACGAGGTACGAGGTAATGCCATATTGACGTAATTATTGTCATAATATCACATGGCACTTCACTTTTAAATTGTTTTAAATACAATCAACTTTTTCATTCAATCACATCTTACCAAATCACATTATGTCTCCATCTGTCAATCACTCTCTATCAAATTGGTGTGACCCAACAAATATACTATGCTACATTCTAACTTGGCTGATATGAATATAGTTCTTTTATTTTTCTGAAAATTTAGCATTGAACTCAATGGAGGCACGATAAAGAATTCAAGGATCCTGATCAACTTATATGGAAACTTATGAATACCAAAAATATGTCCCAGTTGTAGTCATGTCGTCCGAGAATATACCATCAAGAATTACCATGTAAATGCTCGTGCTCATCTCTTCTTTCCCAAAGAACTATATTTATTTTTCTTGTTATTTGATTATTTCTTTGGGAAGTTGATTAATGGCCCTACATCATTATGTAAAAGACACATCAAAAGGAGCTAGAAGATAAAATTTGTGAGGACAAATTACACAAAAGATTAATTGTGGGGGCAAAAATTGAAAATTACAAGGACTTTTCTAAAAATTGGGCAATATATTGAATTTCAAATTTATTGTGGGGACAGGTAACCCTCCATAAATCCGCCCCTGATTCAAATGGGTTTTAAAGGGGCACTGGAACAAGAAATTGTGACATTGAAATTTTGTCGTGACATTGAAATTTTGTCTTGAGTAGTATGTCGGCAATCATATATCAACAAGTTTTAACAAATACATCAAGGAGCTTTAAATGTGTCACAAGGAAATAATAGACCAAACTAATATAGTATAATGTGGGTGCTCATCTATTAAGAATCTAACTATTTTGGACCATTCTGTATATCCACCCCTGATCAAATGGATTTTAAGGGGGCACTAGAACAAGAGATTATAACATTGAAATTTAGTCTTGAATGGTATGTCGGCAGTCATATTTCAACAAGTTTTAAGAGACACATCAAGGAACTTTAAATGCGCCACGAGGAAATAATAGACCAAACTAATATAGCATAATGTGGATGCTCACCTATTAAGAATCTAATTATTTTGGATCATTCTATAAATCTAGCAATGAAATGAGTGGTGTGAAAAAAAAGAATTTAAAAGCTTTAAAGAAGCTTTAATACGAGTTACGAGGAGTAATGCCATATTGACGTAATTATTGGCATAATGTCACATGACACTTCATTTTTGAATTGTTTTAAATACAATCAATTTTTTCATTCAATCACATCTTGCCAAATCACATTATGTCTCCATCTGTCAATCACTTTATATCAAAGTGGTGTGACCCAACAAATATACCATGCTACATTCTAACTTGGCTGCTATGAATCTAGTTGTCTTTTATATTTCTGGAAATTTAGCATTGAACTCAATGGAGGCACGATAAAGAATTCAAGGATCCTGATCAACTCATATGGAAACTTATGAATACCAAAAAATTTACGTTTTCCCAATTGTGGCTTGTTTAGCTAATGAATACATGATAATACAATGTAAAGTAACCTAAGTATTCAATATCAACGCAACTATTTGAAGGGTGGTAACTACAAACAAAATCAACTTGTAACCTAAAACTTGTCTTTTACTAGCTTTCTCTTGATTATTCACTATGCATTGATTTTGCTGATACATCAATGCATTCGATTGTAATGAAGCAGGTGCTTGGAAGGAGGAGCAGAAGAATTCCTGTTGAAACCTGTCAAATTAGCAGATATGAGGAAACTTCATTCCCACCTCCTTAATACAACTAACATTCATGACACCATAATAGATAGTGATCACAACAACAATACTAACAAGAGGAAGGCTTCATCGCCTGAGGATTCAGACAGAAGAACCAGAATTCAAGAATTGCCTGTGTCCTAATATTATTTTTTCCATGTCCTGAATTCGTACTCGCTCTAATTTAACAGTAATAGAATGACAGTATTACTTGCGAAATGTTTTGCTAGCATATACGTGCAGTGTAACTTCGAATATTGAAGTGCGCATAATTCATGCACGAAAGATGAAACAAACCCACATATAACTTCACTTTAGTAATACCAATTACCAAGATTTCAGCTATTGGCATCAATCCGTATAATTGCCCATATACAAGATTTCAGCTATTGGCATCAATCCTTACTGAAAGGTATAATTGCCCATATACAATTTGTAGGGAGAAAATGATATGTTGGGCTAAGGAGCACAAAATAGTCAAGAATGTTCGCCTGAATAATACTAGCATTTGTATCCCAAACGAGATTCTTGCTTTTATTTTAATATCTAATTCTAGGTATCGGAAAATGCCACAAGGGAGAAAGGAGAGGGGTTGGGAGGTTTTGAGGAGGAGAAGATTCTCATCAATGAAGGATTTCTTTCCCGGTTTCTCGAGATGCTAAAATCATCCTCGATTGTTTTCACGAAATGACTTGCCAAAGATAATGATGCTCCATCTGCAAAAAGAAGAGAACCAATATTTATAAAACGTGACAAGAATTAAAACCAAAAGCTCCTTTCCCGCACCAGAATGCCTAAACAAATGATTCGTATTTGAAATTTAGTTACCTAAATTACAGCTTCTCTTTTCTTGATTCTGGTTCTTCCTTCATTCTATCTCCTTCATACAGCAAAATATTTCCACTTTCTGTCTTGAAAAATAATTTTGGATAACATTTAATGTCAAAAGTTTCATTTGAGATATCATTTGCAGTAGCAATTAGCATCCTACAAAAGCAGTGGAATTTCAACGGAAAAATTAAGATCTGTATTTCAAACATCAACAAGGAGGTATTATATAAACAAACAATAAACAAGATTAAAGCAAGAGAAATTTTAACCATGGATAATTCCATATAAGTCAGATGTCTTTACAACTTTCTTCTACTTCATGACTGATCCAAGTGCAAGGATGTATAAATAAAATTATAAGTCAAGTTGCAAATAAAATTTACATGTCTGTTTTTGCAATTATGATTTCTTTTTCTTATTTAAAGATTTGCTGCCATGTTTATAGATTATACCTATTGATGTTAGTACCCAATCTATCATTTTATAATACAATTATTCACAGTACAGCTACTGATATGCCATGACCTTTATGGTATGCTGTGAAAAATTTGGGCAATATATTGAATTTCAAATTTATTATGGGGGCAGGTAACCCTCCATAAATCCGCCCCTGATTCAAATGGGTTTTAAAGGGGCACTAGAACAAGAAATTGTGACATTGAAATTTTGTCTTGAATAGTATGTCGGCAATCATATATCAACAAGTTTTAACAGATACATCAAGGAGCTTTAAATGCGTCACGAGGAAATAATAGACCAAACTAATATAGTATAATGTGGGTGCTCATCTATTAAGAATCTAACTATTTTGGACCATTCTGTATATCCACCCCTGATCAAATGGATTTTAAGGGGGCACTAGAACAAGAGATTATAACATTGAAATTTAGTCTTGAATGGTATGTCGGCAGTCATATTTCAACAAGTTTTAAGAGACACATCAAGGAACTTTAAATGCGCCACGAGGAAATAATAGACCAACTAATATAGCATAATGTGGATGCTCACCTATTAAGAATCTAATTATTTTGGATCATTCTATTAATCTAGCAATGAAATGAGTGGTGTGAAAAAAAAGAATTTAAAAGCTTTAAAGAAGCTTTAATACGAGTTACGAGGAGTAATGCCATATTGACGTAATTATTGGCATAATGTCACATGACACTTCATTTTTGAATTGTTTTAAATACAATCAATTTTTTCATTCAATCACATCTTGCCAAATCACATTATGTCTCCATCTGTCAATCACTCTCTATCAAATTGGTGTGACCCAACAAATATACTATGCTACATTCTAACTTGGCTGATATGAATATAGTTCTTTTATTTTTCTGAAAATTTAGCATTGAACTCAATGGAGGCACGATAAAGAATTCAAGGATCCTGATCAACTCATATGGAAACTTATGAATACCAAAAAATTTACGTTTTCCCAATTGTGGCTTGTTTAGCTAATGAATACATGATAATACAATGTAAAGTAACCTAAGTATTCAATATCAACGCAACTATTTGAAGGGTGGTAACTACAAACAAAATCAACTTGTAACCTAAAACTTGTCTTTTACTAGCTTTCTCTTGATTATTCACTATGCATAGGTTTTGCTGATACATCAATGCATTCGATTGTAATGAAGCAGGTGCTTGGAAGGAGGAGCAGAAGAATTCCTGTTGAAACCTGTCAAATTAGCAGATCTGAGGAAACTTCATTCCCACCTCCTTAATACAACTAACATTCATGACACCATAATAGATAGTGATCACAACAACAATACTAACAAGAGGAAGGCTTCATCGCCTGAGGATTCAGACAGAAGAACCAGAATTCAAGAATTGCCTGTGTCCTAATATTATTTTTTCCATGTGCTGAATTCGTACTCGCTCTAATTTAACAGTAATAGACTGACAGTATTACTTGCGAAATGTTTTGCTACCATATACGCGCAGTGTAACTTCGAAGATTGAAGTGCGCATAATTCATGCACGAAAGATGAAACAAACCCACATATAACTTCGCTTTAGTAATACCAATTACCAATATTTCAGCTATTGGCATCAATCCTTATAATTGCCCATATACAAGATTTCAACTATTGGCATCAATCCTTACTGAAAGTTATAATTGCCCATATACAACTTGTAGGGAGAAAATGATATGTTGGACTAAGGAGCACAAAATAGTCAAGAATGTTCGCCTGAATAATACTAGCATTTGTATCCCAAACGAGATTCTTGCTTTTATTGTAAAATCTAATTCTAGGTATCGGAAAATGCCACAAGGGAGAAAGGAGAGGGGTTGGGAGGTTTTGAGGAGGAGAAGATTCTCATCAATGAAGGCTTTCTTTCCTGGTTTCTCGAGACGCTAAAATCATCCTCGATTGTTTTCACGAAATGACTTGCCAAAGATAATGATGCTCCATCTGCAAAAAGAAGAGAACCAATATTTATAAAACGTGACAAGAATTAAAACCAAAAGCTCCTTTCCCGCACCAGAATGCCTAAACAAATGATTCGTATTTGAAATTTAGTTACCTAAATTACAGCTTCTCTTTTCTTGATTCTGGTTCTTCCTTCATTCTATCTCCTTCATACAGCAAAATATTTCCACTTTCTGTCTTGAAAAATAATTTTGGATAACATTTAATGTCAAAAGTTTCATTTGAGATATCATTTGCAGTAGCAATTAGCATCCTACAAAAGCAGTGGAATTTCAACGGAAAAATTAAGATCTGTATTTCAAACATCAACAAGGAGGTATTATATAAACAAACAATAAACAAGATTAAAGCAAGAGAAATTTTAACCATGGATAATTCCATATAAGTCAGATGTCTTTACAACTTTCTTCTACTTCATGACTGATCCAAGTGCAAGGATGTATAAATAAAATTATAAGTCAAGTTGCAAATAAAATTTACATGTCTGTTTTTGCAATTATGATTTCTTTTTCTTATTTAAAGATTTGCTGCCATGTTTATAGATTATACCTATTGATGTTAGTACCCAATCTATCATTTTATAATACAATTATTCACAGTACAGCTACTGATATGCCATGACCTTTATGGTATGCTGTGTGGAGAGGATACTAAGCCGTGTTTGGTTTAGATAAAAATACTATTTTCAGTAGATTTTGATAAAAGTTAATGAAATATGTGTGTATAAAATTGTGAATCCCATAAAACATGTGGTTGAAAATGAGTTTTAGGAAAAGTGAATTTTAGAAAATGGGGACCATGCATGCATTTAAAGTTTACACCAGAGAAACATAGAATTAGGATGTAGCAAGAATGAACAGTGCCATCATATAATCATGGCAAATCATTTTCCAAGGTTATAATAGTAAACTAATGTGGCATAATATCAAAGGTACTGGTGAAGAATCTTAATTTTTGCAATGATAATATCATTATCACTTCCAAATAAGACGGCAACTTCATCCAAAATCGGGACTAATTTTTTGCAGTGTCCACACCACGAAGCATAAAACTCTAATAGAACTGTGCACATAAATTAAGCCCAGATTTTAGGTGTAATCGAGGAGATTCCACAAGCTAGAAAGGAAATAATTAAAATTGAGCTTTTTCTTCTCCAAGATAAAACTTACGGGCTGATAACAGCTCATGCAAAAACCAAGACAGGGATATCCATAATCAGGCACATACTCAGGCGCACATGTCTGCAAAGTGTAGAGAGAGACAGATGAAATGTTTTTACTAATGTTAAAAATAAATGTATGAGCTTAACGTGCAATCCCAAAAAAGTAAGAGATAACACAGAACATATAGTGGACAAAACTGTAACTCCTACCTGGTCAGGAATAAGAAAATACATCTGCTGACAGAAACAATCAGTAAGTAAATAACGTGCAACTTAACAGCTAAAATTACGACGATAAACAGAAAAAGCAGAGCAGTTCAAAAATGCTAACACGGTAAAAATGTAAAAGAATGATAAATATGTCAATATTCATACCATTTTTCTCCGAGTTGAAGACCATGTCCTGCAAGTTCCCTGCAACCAGCACCTTAACAGGTTCGCTTTTCTTGATTCTGGTTCTTCCTTCATTCTATCTCCTTCATACAGCAAAATATTTCCACTTTCTGTCTTGAAAAATAATTTTGAATAACATTTAATGTCAAAAGTTTCATTTGAGATATCATTTGCAGTAGCAATTAGCATCCTAAAAAAGCAGGAAAAGGAGAATTTAGTCATATCTGAAGTAGAATTTCAACGGAAAAATTAAGATCTGTATTTCAAACATCAAAAGGAGGTATTTTATAAACAAACAACAAACGAGATTAAAGCAAGAGAAATTTTAACCATGGATAATTCTAGATGAGTCAGATGTCTTTACAACTTTCTTCTACTTCATGACTGATCCAAGTGCAAGGATGTATAAATAAAATTATAAGTCAAGTTGCAAATAAAATTTACATGTCTGTTTTTGCAAATATGATTTCTTTTTCTTATTTAAAGATTTGCTGCCATGTTTATAGATTATACCTATTGATGTTAGTACTCAATCTATCATTTTATAATACAATTATTCACAGTACAGCTACTGATATGCCATGACCTTTATGGTATGCTGTGTGGAGAGGATACTAAGCCGTGTTTGATTTAGATAAAAATACAATTTTTAGTTGATTTTGATAAAAGTTAATAAAATGTGTGTGCATAAAATTGTGGATCCCATAAAACATGTGGTTGAAAATGAGTTTTAGGAAAAGTGAATTTTAGAAAATGGGGACCATGCATGCATTTAAAGTTTACAACAGAGAAACATAGAATTAGGATGTAGCAAGAGTGAACAGTGCCATCATATAATCATGGCAAATCATTTTCCAAGGCTATAATTGTAAACTAATGTGGCATAATATCAAAGGTATTGGTGAAGAATCTTAATTTTTGCAATGATAATATCATTATCACTTCCAAATAAGACGGCAACTTCATCCAAAATCGGGACTAATTTTTTGCAGTGTCCAATTTTTTGCAGTGTCCACACCACAAAGCATAAAACTCTAATACAACCGTGCACATAAATTAAGCCCAGATTTTAGGTGTAATTGAGGAGATTCCACAAGCTAGAAAGGAAATAAGTAAAATTGAGCTTTTTCTTCTCTAAGATAAAACTTACGGGCTGGTAACAGCGCATGCAAAAACCAAGACAGGGATGCCCATAATCAGGCACATACTCAGGCGCATGTCTGCAAAGTGTAGAGAGAGACAGATGAAATGTTTTTACTAATGTTAAAAATAAATGTATGAGCTTAACGTGCAATCCCAAAAAATTAAGAGATAACACAGAACATCTAGTGGACAAAACTGTAACTCCTACCTGGTCAGGAATGAGAAAATACATCTGCTGACAGAAACAATCAGTAAGTAAATAACGTGCAACTTGAAAGCTAAAATTACGACGATAAACAGAAAAAGCAGAGCAGTTCAAAAATGCTAACACGGTAAAAATGTAAAAGAATGATAAATATGTCAATATTCATACGATTTTTCCCCGAGTTGAAGACCATGTCCTGCAAGTTCCCTGCAACCAGCACCTTAACAGGTTCATTGTTGGCCTCAGGATGGGCGCTGACTTTTTGTATGTTTGCAAATTACTGTCCTGCATAAATGTAAAACAATAGCTATGAGTTATTTGCTGCCAGAAAAACTACAATAAATAAACTACTTGCCAAATGTGAGTTTTCATAATTTATATCATGCAGGGTCGTCCTTCAAAACCAAAATGCAAGACTGTAAAAATAAAAAGTAAATAAATAGACAACAATTTTAGAAGGTACAAAAAAAGTACAAGGATCATCAATGCCGTGGAGAGACTTCCATAGAGAGGTGGAGCGAAGGCCCTATGAGAAGTGAAGAAGGATTCTTTACTGTGAAGTCCTTGAACCATGCTGCAATCTGGTCGGGCTCAACATTTCGCTTTAGATATTTCTTTCTGTTATTTGCTTGTGTGATTATCAGAGGAATCTGCTCCTCCTTAAGCCCAAAAAACTGTTCATAGAAGCCAGCAATATGACGAGTTAGTAATGAAATGTAAGAAAAATAGCAAGTGAATCAAACAGGAAACTGATGTGCACAAACCTGGAAACCACCTTGACTAGCCCGAAAATCACCCATTAGAAAACTTAGGCCCTTGCACTTGAACTGCTTAGCAACATCAAGATATTTTGATCTAAAAGAATCATCATGCTCACTGCCAAAGTTCAGAAATGACATTGCCTGCCAATCAAAACCAAGAGATGTCAAATGTTTCCCACTACGAAAAGAAAATGACATGGAGTATTGTTGTACCAAATAACCATATGGTGGTACCGACTGAACTATATAAAGAAGATAACTGCACAATCTTTGGTAGCCAGATAAATTTGATCAAGATCATTTAACCAAAGCTAGAGAAATAAGGAAACAGAAAATAGCAGCGCTCCTTGGGTCAGATAGACATTTTAGGCAGAATTTATTTCAAGATTCTTCCTCGTCTTTTCAGGACATTCAGAAAAACAAAAATCTATTTTCAAAAACTATGGAATCCTTTGAACACCCATTTTTCAGAGGAACATCCTCGTACCTTTCAGCAACAAGCAGACACATAATCATAGAGGGAAAAAAAAAAACTTTTCCAAGTACCAAGTTGCAAAAGGAAATGATGTAAATGAGATTAGAGCTGAAATTTAACAAGCCCAGAGTGAATTAGACAGCATACATGTAGAGCCTCTGTTTGAGCCCCAATTTCTGAGTATAAATTTTGTAAAAAGTAATTTTTTCGGACAACGCATGGATAGAAAGTAGGAAAAGTTTTGAATTTACATGCAAAAATTATTTCTTGCAAAAATGTATGACTGAAAATGAGTTTGGGAAATTAATTTTAAAGAATGGGGCTCGAACAGGGGCCTAATTTTTTAGGCATACACTGCGTGATGAATTGGCTACCGCATGAGAAACAAAATATTTGTCCTTTAACAAATAACTTTATTCTTGGCAATAAGAAAAGCTAGATCATTTACAATAAGAAATGCTCAATCATTTACAATGGCAGATAATAAACAGAGGGAAAAAAATGGTGCTATTTATGTATTGCATAGAATTTCTTTCTACAGCAAGAACATTCTGTACAAAATTAGCAATGGTCCTAAAATGATGGAAGAAGCTTTAGTTCACCTTGGCACTGCAGCTGCTGAAGATTCAACAGACTTCAATAAAGCATCCACATCAAAGTCCTGCACCGCATAATATTTTGAGTTAAGAAGACTATAACATTAGATAAAATGTATAATATTTAGGACTGAAAGAACAGAATAAACAACCAGCCAAAAGTATGCATAATCCTAATAAAACTGAAAAGAAATGTTATACCTGAAAATCTACACTGTGTTCATCAAAAGGCTTGAACAGCATAATAATTGGCCCAGCAACTGATGAGTCCACCCGGGGAAGGAGCTTAGCATCAAAAGTATGACCAAGCTAATAGTCAGAACGCAATCTCTCAGCCAAAATAGTGAAGTTCTCAAACAAACTCATAGTCAGAATGCAATCTCTCAGCCAAAGTAGTGAAGTTCTCAAACTTCTCCCCAGTAAATTCTGGCAATACTCAAACCTGTAAACTTGCACAAACATATTTTACCTCCGCAGGTTACAAATTTGACTCCACACTTGAGGATAGAGGAGGGAAAAGAGTGGGAAATGACACTCACCACAAGGATCTTATTGTCGTCAATTACAGAGTAGCATCTTCAGGGGATTTAATTTCATTGGATGCAGGACCACTTTGCTTTTTCAAATAAGTAACAATGCCATCAGCCTCACAGGGTCCTTTATACTCTTGAACAACACTGCCTCAATATCTCAAAAATATAAGGTTGGGAAAAACTTGAACGTTAGCCCCCGCTTGGCCCCCATTAATTTCCATTCCTCATTTTTCTCTCTCCTATTTTCAATCACACAATCTTCCATAAAATAATATTACACATAAATCGAAAACTTTTCCTTGTTTTTCAATCACCCATTTTTCAAAAAACACAATTCTACCCATTTTCATTTCCACATAATGGGGGCCAAACGGGGGCTTATACTCACTAGAAAGAGACTTATTTTTCTCCTCATTTCAAGATAGATAGAATATTACACCTCAGGAGTGAGTTTCTTCCAGAGACCACCACAGCTGTAGCAATGTTCTGAAAATTAGAATGTAAATCAAGTAATCGGAAAAGTAAAGGAAACTCAAACATCGCATAGAGAAACAAAATTTTTCTCGTGCAATTTACACAGAGAAGAATACAAGATTATTATTTCAAATTATTTATAGATATGAAAAAACCAAAACTTCTTGTCCACGATATTCACTAAATCATTTAAAATAAATATCAATGTTCCTTCTAAATACTGAACATCCTAAACCTGCTCCCCCTTAGAAAAGTCATTCATTTCTCTCTTGTGATCTTATCTTTGTTTAATTTTTCTCTCTTTTTCATAAGGGAAAATAAAAGCAACGAAACTCTAAAAAATTCTAATTCTGCCATTTGTTTCACCTTACATTTACATAGACATACACATCAATCACAGTAAATGTGAAATCCACATTACAAAAACTCATAAAAAATCATAAAACTACAACAACTCAAGGTAATCTATTTAACAAAAACTTACCAGGGGCTGTAAAATTCAACGACGACAAACTTATGTTCGGCAACAAAATCAGTGAAATTGGAGTGATCTAAGGTCACCACGAACTCTTCGGATTCTAATTCTTCTTCGCATATTGATCCAGTTAAAGTAAACACGATCAAGAATAAGGACATCCGTAACTTTTAATCATTCGTGACAATAGTCATCTAATGTACTATGATTGTATATATGTTTAATGAGTTCACATTGTTTTCTTAAACTAAATTTATTCACTCTTATACTTGGAGATTTGATTTTTAAAATATGAAAATTCCATAACCAACTTGCAAACCAATAGGGGGTCAGCTACTCGGTTGGTTGCAAGTGAGAATGTCAAAAGTCGAAGATCTGGATTCATCCCAGTTTGGTTTAGATAAAAATTTGATAAAAATTCAAATTAACATTAACAATATATACTTCTAGAATCCACAATTTTCATCAACTTTTCAACCACATTTCATTAGTTTTTATCAAAATATACTAAAAATATGATTTTTAACAAAATGAAACGAGGTTTATTAGATTTTTGACTACATTGAAGTATATGATTGTTTGCATTGATATCCAGAAGGGTTTTTGCATTGAGACGAGGCATACCGTGCAAGATTTTTCGAGAAGAAATACATTGCAAAAATGGAATCAAAGGTTAATAGAGGTGGATCTGAGGAAATCTGAAAGGAACACGAATTCTTGATGCAATCTTGGGGAATTCAAAAAATGAAATTTTGCTAGAGGATTATGATTCAATTAGTTACATGCTACATTAATTATTCTATACATATACAATGCAAAAATATAAATTAGACCTTTTACTTCCACATGTCGAAGAATTCGTACACGGACAACCATAATATAGTTGAATCTTACGATCAATCAAGCTCAGAAAATGCCAAGTTTATTTCAATATAAATGCCTTGAGAAATCACAGTTTCCAGCTGCTTCCCAGCAAAAGTGAAGAGAGTATTTCCCATGGTATGATCCCATTCCCTACGCCTCCAAACGACTAATTGAGAGTTGAATATTTTTGCTTTTTGATAAACTAATCAACCGTCGCTAAAACATTGAAAGTACTGCAAATTGTGCAATGCAAGTATACATGCAAGAATATACACAATATATTGGCATGTCTTCAAGCATATTAAAAAAAATAAAAAATAAAAATAAATAAATAAAAAACAAAAAGAAGCAAGGATTGTAACTCAAAGGAGAACACTTAAGTGCAGAGTCGCTCCATTAATGGACAAAACCCCTGCTGAGACACTTTGTACAAACTCCTCCTTTAGCATTTTGTCATTTGTAAACAAATAAGCAGCAAGCAGCATTTCTCTAGCATTGATCATATTGAAACTTTCTTCGACTTTGTTCACCTTCCCAAAAGAAAAGATAACATCATTTATAATTACAATGTTCTGCTATTCGGCGCAAAAATTCATTAACAAGTGATCCAAATTTTTACCATGATGATGGGAAATAAAGGACCATGTCACCAGGAGGGATCAACGAAGAACAAAGACTGAAGCATTTTTGACATACCAGTGCTGCGTGCTGGAGATGGAGGGGCATCAGGTCTCTGGGGCCATTCTACCTCGAGCTCGGGTACAAACACAAGTGCTTTGGATGACATCTTATTGGACAAGGATATCAATCATATGAGAGCAATCTTTCTAGAAAAGTTTTCCACTGAATTTCAACCAATTCCAACCCACTTCCTAAATGCCCCGACAAACTCAATCCTCTTCGACTGAACCTCATTTCTAGCATCAGACACAGTTAAGCCCCTATAAAGATCTCTGTGGAACTTTAAGAACTCAGTTTTATAACTCCATTTATCCAGGTACATACCATTCTCCATCATAATGCCAATTACTTCCATAACCCTCTCAAAATAACCACCTCGGAGAAAATTTAACAGCAACAATTCATACAAATCTCTGTGGTATATTGTATCCTGATTCTCCATGCTCCTCTTAATATCCCCCCATAAGATTGTGATATCACGGTACATTCCCAAAGAAGCATATCCACAAATCAGATGGAAGAAAGTACACATGGTAGGCTGGATTTTCATCTCTTTCATTTTTTGATATGTCTTCAAGGCATCTCCAATCATTTTGGCCTTTGTGAAGAAGTAGATCGAGGAATTGTACTCGTGAACCGAAGAAGGACACACTTTCTCCTCTTCTCTAATATTTCTAACGACATCAGCTAAATTTGATTTAGTAGTTGACGTTAGATTTTTCAGATACACCATTCCAGCTTCAGATTCATAAATATATGAGGAGAAAGCCACCTTGGGGGGAATATTTAAAAGAAGGCCAGTTCTCCTCATTTGTTTTATCAGTGCTTCTGCTTCCCTAAACATCTTCATGTTGGAATAAGCAGCCAAAAGGGACATATATGAACTTTCACTGATGGGATATCCCATTAATTCAAAGTCATCCAAAATGTCATGTGCAGTCTGTAGCCATCCCAAATGAATACAAGCATCAATCACACTGGAACACAGACTGTTATATTCTAATGAACTACAGTTATTCTGAATGCTAATGAGAAGCTTCGAGAGCTTGCCAATCCTCCCACATCTCTTGTATCCTACAATCAGTTTGGCCAGAGCTTTGTTGCTCACAAAAAATTTCCCGTTCTTGAACACAACTAGCCCTGGCTTGCTGTCCACTTTACAAATAGAATCTTTCTGTAATTGTCGGGATAAAAAGTGCAATGTCAATCCCGTCCTCATGTTGTGAGATCCAATGGACACAGTACATGATATTTGTGGTTCCCTCTTTCCCCCTTGAAACAAATTTGACTCGTAATATCTACACAAGTCCAGTACGAGTTCGGATGCAGCATCTATATCACTGAATCTGAAATGCAAGCTTAGCATACAATCATAAAAGTGCTGATAGTGACAAACTAAAGTAATTGGAACCCGATCTATATAATCTTTAAATTTCTTTAACTCGTCCCTCATGGCATTGATTTCATGGATTCGAGCAATAATTGTAGCGGTGTGAGCGTCGGCTACAACTCCTACTTGTGCCATCAACTCTATAATTTGCTGACCCTTCAAAGATGCTCCAAATCTTACACAAGCATCTAGAACAAGGTTAAAGATCATAGTGTCAGGCTTTTTCAACTCTTTGTGAGCTGATTTATGGGCATTTTTATTCAGAAAACAATCGCAGATTTCGATCAAGATATTTGATGCTAAATACGTCCCAATCTCTGTCTTCGCCATATGTAAAAAGATGATTTCCAATATATCAAGAGAGGGCAAACTCCTCTTCTCTAGCATTAGTCTAAGTACGGTTGATGCTGGAACAGGAATTTGAGCCCTCGCTGAGGAAAGGGTGAGCTTAGTCATTAAGTCGGGCTCAAGTATTCCTGGTTTCTCTATTGAAATTGAAAGAACGAGATCACATGCCTTACGAAGGCATTTTGAATCAGATGAATAAGATAACTCAGTTATCAGCCCAGCTACAAGATACTGGCTCGGGAAACCATGGAGGCGCTTGAACTCCTTATAAGTTTCCCAAGCCTTATCCACTAGGTGTTCTCTCAGAGAGTTTTCAAGCTTTCCTAGCAAAATCAAGCGAGATGATTCTTCCTGGTATAATTTCTCCCGCTTAATGCCAATAGAAGAAAATCCTCGGGGAACGAAATTATATGCATCCAAAACTTCAAGCATCTTCATTTTGCAGATGAAGTCAAATTTTCTGTGGGAAGTCAGTCTTAAGGCAGCCTTATGTATAACCGCTAGTAATGATTGTGCCATCAAAATTAGGACATTCAAGCATGTCAAAATTGTCTAATTCACAATGTTACTAAAATCGTTTTGTCTTAAGGAGCTTCCAACATGCCTCTGCAAAGAAAAATCATTAACTTAATCACTATCCCATGAACAATAAGCCAGGGTTGAGCCCCCTAAATACACTCACACACAGCTTACAGACAGACAGGCACAATTCGGTACAACAAAATGAATTGAGGTCAATTCTAGTTACTCATAAAAACGATATTCAAATGAGCTAAAATTCTTAATATACTATGAACCCATATATTACCAACAGCATTCCTATCCCCAATGAACCTCAGACGTCCCACCCCGCCCACCACAAAAAATAAAAAAACAATCTTCACACACGAAGAAATGTAGAATCATCATTACTTAATAATAATATTTTCAGTAACCAATTTATAGCTACAAAGTGCATATAGAACAGAAAAATAAACTTATTGAAGTGACCCACGAAGAATAGTGGCTGAATTGAATATTAAGAAATCAAGAACATCCCGTCAATGTGGAATTAAAAAGATGAACCTAAGAAAAATTAGTGCCTTGATCTCTGAAGCCATCGTCTTGGCTGAAAATGCAATCGAAGTATCAAATGGTTGGCTGGTTACCAGTTGCTTCTGATCTTGATTGAGCTACGAGCCTATAAAGTTTTCAACTTCGTATTGCAATTCACAAAATTGTAGGGTTAAATGATTATCTGCACCCAAGCCCTTCTTTCCTCAGTAATTAACAGGCACACTCTATATATTTAATTGCACGATTGAGAAGATGTTAAAATGTCAAGGAAGAATTTCGAAATACACTCCGGTCTGAATTACACAGGCAGAGGTTTATTTTTCTCTTATCTCAAATACATAGACTGGCCTTTTTTTAATTTAAAATATTTTATTTTCTTCCTTTATCAACACACCCTCGTCCAATTATTCCCACTTAATATGTCAATTTTTTAAAATCATTCAAATACACACATGTTCCACTTTTTAGAAACATGGAACACCTCTCATTTTTTATTCTTCAAATTAAATAATTCAAATTCTTTATTAATTCCAACAATAATTTATTATTACATACTGAAAATTAAATAGTGGTAAATTAGGAAAGATCTTGACAAACATTAATTTTCCAATGACCTTAAAAAAAATTCTTAATTCGTGCGAAAAACGAATCAAACCTATATAATTGGGAAGAAAGGAGTATTTTGATTATGGAAGGTGAATATGAAAATGGCAATTTTCAAGAAGAAGAAAAGAAAAGGCAATTTTCTTGATTTTTAATATATAGAATATGTTTGGTTAGACTAAAATTGATGCAGTGTCAACTATCGATTTGATTCAATGAATTAGATAAAATTAAATATAAATTAAAAATAGATATAATATGAAGATAATATTAGACAATTAAATCGAAGTTTTAGTTTATTTTGATAAAAATTGATGAAATATGACCTTAAAAATTTAAAATTAATTATTGACTTTAATTTATATTAAAATCTGAATTTCAATTCTAATCAAACAAAGGATAGAGTTGATTAATGGGGATAATGCTTTTTTTTTTTTTTTTCCAAATTCACAATGCAATACTATAATCAATTCACAGTGCAATTCACCAATTCACGGGGCAATATACACTATTTACAAATTCCAATGAGTCAATGAGCAACTCACAGTCGCAAAAGGGCCAGAGGCAGCAATGAACTGAAAGTCATCTGTTTGGTAGCGAAATCAATCGAAGAGCAATGTGTAGACAGTGCCGTTTTCAAGCAATTGACGAGCAGGGTACTAATTTCATATGTTAAAAAGAAAAACTCAAACATTATTACAGTTTACACAAATCAAAATACATTAAAAATTGAATTTTTAATACAATTTCTTTTCCTGATTTAAATCGTAGAATAGCGTAGAGGAAATACACAGTCCTCTCCTAAATATTACATAAAATATTAAATGAAACTAAAAGAGTAAATCTAAGTTTCCTACACGTTCCCGGGTAGAATATCCAAAAGTGTGACTATCCATTTTGTCCAAAACCTAATCAATTTCCTAACCTTTTTTGGTGATTCCAATGCTAAATAAGAGAAGAAAATTTTTATTTTTCTTCACTTTGTGGCATTAATAGCAGAAAATTACTCCATCATAAGATACTTGCAACCCAATTTCTAGCCATTATCTTTCACATTAGTTGGGTAGGCAAAGCGAAGGAGACGATCGGCGGAGCCGTAGGATTGGAGGAAGGGTTGAATTGAAATGAAAATTGAATTTAAATGGAATGGGGAATGGGTTATAATTAGTTAAAATGGGAGTACGTATTGATTGGGTTATTGGGCTTCCATTCTTGACTGGGTTGGGTAGGGAATTAACCTTAAAAAAAAAAAAAGGGCCTTGGTGTTGGACCCAAAAATAGCCCGCACTGGACTTCATTGGGCTCCGCCCCGGTCTATCTGTCTGCTGTATGTGAGCGTATTTAGGAGGCTCAACCCTGGCTTATTGTTCATAGGATAGTGATTGAGTTAATGATTTTTTTCTGCAGAGGCATGTTAATTAGATGAAACAATTACAGTGACATTGTGAATTAGACAATTTTTACATGCTTGATTTTTCTAATTTTGATGGCGTAGTCATTAATAGAGGTTATACATTAGGCTGCCTTAAGACTGATTTCCGACAGAAAATTTGACTTCATCCGTGAAGTGAAGATGCTTGAGGTATTGGATGCATATAATTTCATTCCCTAAGGATTTTCTTCTATTGACATTAAGCAAGAGAAATTATATCAGGAAGAATCATCTCGCTTGATTATGCTGGGAAAGCTTGAAAGCTCTCTGATAGAACACCAAGTGGATAAGGCTTGGGAAACTTATATAAGGAGTTCAAGCGCCTCCATGATTTCCCGAGCCAGTATCTTGTAGTTGGGCTGATAACAGTGTTATCTTATTCATCTGATTCAAAATGCCTTTGTAAGGCATGTGATTTCGTTCTTTCAATTTCAATAGAGAAACCAGGAATACTTCAGCCTGACTTAATGACCAAGCTCACCCTTTCCTCAGCGAGGGCTCAAATGCCTGCTCCAGCATCAACCGTACTTAGACTAATGCTAGAGAAGAGGAGTTTGCCCTCTCTCTATATATTGGAAATCATCTTTTTACATATGACGAAGAAAGAGATTGGGACGTATTTAGCATCAAATATCTTGATCAAAATTTGTGATTGTTTTCTGAATAAAAATGCCCATAAATCAGCTCACAAAGAGTTGAAAAAGCATGACACTATGATTTTTAACCTTGTTCTATATGCTTGTGTAAGATTTGTAGCATCTTTGAAGGGTCAGCAAATTATAGAGTTGATGGCACAAGTATGAGTTGTAGCCGATGCTCACACCGCTACAATTATTGCTCGAATCCATGAAATCAATGCCATGAGGGACGAGTTAAAGAAATTTAAAGATTATATAGATCGGGTTCCAATTACTTTAGTTTGTCACTATCAGCACTTTTATGATTGTATGCTAAGCTTGCATTTCAGATTCAGTGATATAAATGCTGCATCCGAACTCGTACTGGACTTGTGTAGATATTACGAGTCAAATTTGTTTCAAGGGGGTAAGAGGGAACCACAAATATCATGTACTATGTCCATTGGATCTCACAATATGAGGACGAGATTAACATTGCACTTTTTACCCCCCCCCCCCCCCAAAGATTCTATTTGAAAAGGATTGACATTGCACTTTTTATCCCTACAATTATAGAAAGATTCTATTTGTAAAGTGGATAGCAATCCAGGCTAGTTGAGTTCAAGAACGAGAAATTTTTTGTGAGCAACAAAGCTCTGGCCAAACTGATTGTAGGATACAAGAGATGTGGGAGGATTGGTAAGCTTTCGAAGCTTTTCATTAGCACTCATAATAACTGTAGTTCATTAGAATATAACAGTTTGTGTTCCAATGTGATTGATGCTTGTATTCATTTGGGATGGCTACAGATTGCACATGACATTTTGGATGACTTTGAATTAATGGGATATCCCATTAATGAAAGTTAATATATGTCCCTTTTGGCTGCTTATTCCAACATGAAGATGTTTAGGGAAGTAGAAGCACTGATAAAACAAATGACGAGAATTGGACTTCTTTTAAATATTCCCCCCAAGGTGGCTTTCTCCTCATATACTTATGAATCTGAAGTTGGAATGGTGTATCTGAAAAATCTAACGTCAACTAATAAATCAAATTTAATTGATGTCGTTCGAAATATTAGTGTTAGGTTTAAAGGTGTAATTGGCGATTCTATGGACAGAAGGACTAAATTGTAAATTTGTAAAAGTCAGGGATTCAATTGTACAATGTTATAAAAGTCGGGGACTTAGGGTGCAATTTAGCAAAGTTTGTGGTAGGGACTAGGGTTTGAGTGTTTGGTTCAAATCAAGGTCGCAGCGCCGAAAGTTTGCTAGCTGTTCGCCCTGCCGTAGCTCGAGCTAGAAGAAGCAGAATGGACGTCGCTCGCTCTTCGCCCGGACTTCGCTCGAGCAAAGTACTATTGCTCGCTCTTCGCTCGCTTTTCCCTCGAGCGACAGTGTTATATGAAAATTCGTATTTTCAATTTTTGGAAAGTTTGACACGGCTTAGGACTCCAAATTGCCCCTAACTATAAATACAAAGGCTGTTAACGAATTTCAAATAGAGGTTGCTTCATTGTGCTTTGATATTAGAACACATTCATATTATCGTGAAGAGATCCAAGAACACAACCAACTGTAGAATTCAGCAATCTTATTCTTGTGATCCGGCAACCAATATTTTGGAAAAAAACATCAAGTTTGTGAAGACAAAATACTAGTACTTCTTCATCTGTTGAGGAAGGGACTCTCTCAAAGGGGATTAAGGGGACAAGCGCAGGAACTGGACAAGAACAGGAGGTTCTTGAAATTCTACTTGGTGATACAATCAGCTAAAGACCAGGAGGCTGTAATGGACAGCAGATTGGGCTGCAGGAGGTAGATCAGAAAGTTAGCAGGAGACTAGTAGTATTTACGGCAGTAGATCGTGAGACTGGAATAGCGGGTCTGACTGGATATGGAGTTTGGTAGAACTTGTACTGACTGAATTGGTATAGTGGAACTTACTGGCTTGGTCCCGGAGTTTTACCTACATCGGGGTTTCTCTGTCATCATATCGTGAGTTGTGTTTTGTATTATTTTATTTACTTTACGCAAATCGACAGTTCAACATAGGAATTAACTGGACTGTACGTTTAATCACCAAGACAATTAATTAAAGTGACGTGTTGCTTTGATTAATCAATTTCACAGTGAGGTCGAATAATAAATTGATTGAAACGTAAACTTGGTAATATCTAAAACTTGAATTTGACGTAGTAAAGCATTCTTGTGAATTTCCAAATTGTTGTAGAACGTTCCTAGAACTTTCAAGTAGTATCAGAGCCTAAGTGTGAATCTTGACCTTTCATTAGTCTAGATGAGTATGTCGTTGAATGTGTCAGCCCACTTTGATGGGAACAATTATGCGTATTGGAAGGTGAGAATGAGGGCATTTTTGAAATCCTTAGATGAGTGTGTTTGGCAGATTGTGGTAAATGGTTGGTCAGCCCCTAGTACCACAATAGATGGTATAGTCACTCCCACCCCTATCGAGAACTGGTCTAGAGCTCAATTAGGTGGCTGTAATTTAAATAGCAAAGCCCTCCATGCCCTATTTATGGCAGTTTCCCTCAAGGAGTTTAGGATAGTGTCCATGTGTGAGGAAGCAAAGGAAGTTTGGGATATTTTAGAAACCACACATGAGAGAACTCAGGCAGTTAAGAGTTCTAAGCTGCAGATGTTGGCTGTTCACGAAATATT